CAAAAGCCCCGCGAGGGCCCGGCGACGCCACGCCGCGGACCTGACGAGCGATCAGAGCCTCGGGAAGCTGCTGCCGCGACTGATTCCGAACCCCCGACAGCCGAAGTCCTCGCCGCCCTCGCGGTCCTCCGTTTCGCCGCCGGGCCTCGCGAGCAAGCGCGCGGTGGATATCGACATGAAGGAGATGGAGAACCGCATCAAGCGGAGGGTGATGCGGCAGCTCCAGCGGGATATCAGCAAAGAGATCCAACAAATGCTTGATGAGCGGGATATCATCATTAACAAACTCTGCCAGGAGAATCGAGAGCTCAAGGAGATCGTTACGCAGCATCTCGGCAGTGTATTCCAGGATTCTTCCCCTCATCATTTCAACCTTTCGCCCGGGGAGGTTATTCTGTAAAAAATGTGTTTGTACTGTTATTTCGTTTTTTTTTTTGCTGAATTTGATGTAATTAGTATGAATCAAAGATGCATCACACCACGATGTGTTTAACTTTCAGAACGAATTGAAATAGTTACCATATTTGTTTGACAATCACCTATCGTTGTTTTTCTGAGAGTGATCACCTCTGGCATGCTTTTTTTTTTCACTATGAAATGAGTGCTGTGTACATTGATCAAACCCATTGTCTTCTTTTCTCTTCCTCATCCTGACAGGACTATTTAAAATGACTGTTAAGGAGTAGAGAGGCGGGACGTCTTAGTGTGAATTTTTCCAAATTTGATTGTTGCTTTCCACTTTTTTTTTGAGAGTTTGATCTGCTACAGTCCTATTTCTACCTTTTAAAATTTTTTTCTCTGACTCTTCTTCTCTTGAACTCTTTCAAGGATCTTTTTGTTCGTGAGGGTAACCAAGTATAGAATAAACGGAGCCCCTAAAAGGGTAGTGGCTGATGGACCTTTAGACCTTTTCTATCGAGTCGGCTCCCCTCATTATGCTATCGTGCAGTGTGGCATCCATTTTCCAGATTATTAGTTTACCATCTAGGATATTCCCCCCCCTTCTTTCCTCACACACAAAGTACTTACTGGATGCTATTGCGTAGTTCTTGAATGTTCATAGCAAATGCACTTTAGAGGTGTGGTTGGTCCAGAACCACCTCCAAACTACGATCGGCCGCCTGGGATAAGTTTTACACATTTTGACCGCAGCGTTTAATACCATGGAAGAGGCCAAACTCGATGGTGATCGCTCTTCAGAGTGAAGCTATCGATCCCAAGTTATATCCAGCCTAACACGTAGTCGGCTTATTTAGACCATGTGTATATTTTAAGCGTGTTTTGCAGGTCTTACCGCTGGGGGTGCTAGATCCCCTCCACCGCACATTTCTTTACACTGACCGTTAAAGCGAAGATGGGTATTCGAATATCTCCTACATTTTCTACCACTTTACCGGTTCGGTGCCTCACTGGGAACTATCACGAACTATTGCTTGATCTTTCACTTGGGTTCGGTGTCTTGAAAAGCGATCAAGACGAGGGCACCACACAAATATATATATATAGAGAGAGAGAGAGAGCGATTATCGTTGTACTTTCTTTTGTATGCAGGTATCAAGGCAAGGTACCTGCTGTGGTTACGGTGAATTTCTTTTTGAGGATTCTTTTTACAAGTATCGAAACCAATCAAGCAGGAATAAAGTCGCGACCTCTATTGGCATTCACCCGTGGGGTCCACCTTTACGTTTCTATCACCTGTCAATACCAGTCGGTGTGAGACCCCATTGAAGACGTTAAGCCGATTTGGAAGAAATCTATTGGTGTGTATATTAAACTGTTTGTTATTACTTTAGTTGGCGGGAGGCTTATTTCTCTCACGCCCGTTGTTGAATTGGTGAATCCCTCGTTTTCCACGGCACCCCATGCGATGTATCGTGTTGCGTCCGCGCCCCGCGTGGTGGTGGATGGCCCTGAAGCCTCTTTTTTCCCCTTTTTTCCCTTTCCTTCCAGTCCACAGCAAAGTGAATTGTTTTTATTATCAATCAACCCCGGCGAAGGACG